GGTTGTGTGTGAACAAAGAGATAATAAAATCAACTAAACTCAATATGAACACTAGCTTAATAAAAAGATAATCAAACAATATAAAATATGAAGCTAGATTGAGTTTAGAAAACTTCTCAATAGATCAAGAGTGGAAGGAGAAGAGTTGGATGCTCAAACACCAATAGATGATCTCCTCAAGCTCTTGTGGAAGTGATTCACAAAACCAAAACACTCAAATGCTTAAAAGCTTATAAACACACTTAAACCAAACATAAACCCTTGAACAAAACTTGTAAACTTCTTAAAAACTTTTCTCTTATTGTTCTTGTTAGATGGGAGAGGTAAATGCAATGGGGTATTTAAAAACGCTGTTTAAAAATATCAAATAAATTCCAAAAAATGTAAAACTTTGGGGAATGATTGTAGACATGATAATAAACATGCTACAATGACTGGTTTCGAAAAAGGACTTCCCAAATGAAAAATATCATCATTTTACAAAATAGTCCAAAACATGAAAATATGAGATACTTGAATTTTGATGTTTTGACATAAACCAACTTTTGAAACTTTGTGAAATGTTTTTATAGACTTAGTAAAACATGTATAAACTGATATTGAAGTCTATAAACTAAGAATACAATATTTTCACAAATACAATAGAAAATGAAACCTATGAGTATGTATATGAAAATATATTTGTTTCATATCTATGTAGATAAACCAAATCACAATAATAAATATGAAACATGTAATTTCATATTTATAAGCATGAAAACTAAAACTTGTGTTGTATATATATGTGACTACATATATATACAAGGAAACTAATAAAATGTGTGTGTATAGATAATTGAGCTTAGAGTACTTAACACACATAATATGAATCCTAAACTACATTACCCAAGCAATCTTGATCTTCAATTAAGCTTGACTTGATACACGTTGCGGATGAAGCTTGTAATTGGATCTTTAACTTGAATTGACGTTGCTTCACTCCACAATTCCTCCAACCTCCATTTGATATGATCGTTAAGGCTCGATTCCATCCATCCTCCAACTACGTTGTTTGTCTACAATACATAGGAATACACAAACACTAGACAAACAACATTAGTAGTAAATTGTTTGTAAATCATCATCAAGACAAGAAGGCCAACAAGACGAAGTCTACGTATTCAATATCGTAGCACTAAGGGAGTTGACTCTCTTAGCACAACGTCACATGCGGAACGGACTTAAACAATCCACATGCAAGCCCGATTCAAATGGTAATCGGTAAAGGCACGTCAAATCCGTTGAAGGCCAAGGGTTTGCCAAAAAACCTTAAAGTCTACGCCTAATACGCGTCGCCGTTTAGTCTTTTCACATGAGAAAGACGAATCTACGTATTCAATATCATAGCACTAAAAGAGTTAACCCTTTTAGCATAACGTTACATGCGGAGTGGACTTAAACAATCTGCATGCTAGCCCGACTCAAACGGTAGTCGGTAAAGGCTTATCAAACCCGTTGATGGCTGAGAATTTGCTAAAATTTTTATAAATGCGAGTCATTGACGTATCAACTTCATTAGTTGGTCTCATAACTTGAGCATCCAATAACTTCGGGATAAGATCCATACATGCAGATGAATCAGCTTTAATAGTTGGTCCTACAGCCCAACATTTGGGATCGCCACGCTCCAACGCCTTAAGAGCTTAAACTGTGTAGACTCCAGCAAACATACGAGTATAAACTGTGTTAATGTCGGTCAACGTGTTACAACTAAAGTCAACGTCGAACAACGCGTTACAGTAAAGGTCGATGCTAGTCGACACATCGACAATTTCGCCAAAATAAGGCAAAGAATGATTCCAGCGAGTTCAATCACATTCAGATATGAATTTCCGACGAAGATGATCAGTTCAAAGTCAACTCAACGATAAGAGCTAAATTCAAAAACTTACACATCAACTTCAATCCAAGATTTCGACAACGGTCAGACGATAAACGCAGCACCGGAAGAACTTCATTTATTCGACAAAACCAAAGAATAGACTGAAGGCTGAAGAAGTCAAGAATTGAAGCAGTTCACAGGTCCCTCTACGAGATTGAAGAAATAGCCTGTCTTATCCAAAGCATTCCAGACTCCCTTATAAAAGAACGAGTCTAAAATTCTTTGGAGGGGGTATCTGTAGGCGTCAAAAATTACCTATAGCTCCCCGAATATAGCTCGAGACAAAGAGAAGGCGATAAGCATCATCATTCAAATCAGGAAAGGATTATCCGGTCCCGTGGAAGCTAACGAATATACAAAGTAAGTCATTGAGTGTACAAGTCAATGGAATGACGAAATGCGCAATACAAATCCGGAGAAGTCAAAAAGTGTCAAACACCTCAAAGTGGCCTGCACAAAAGATTGACATTTTGACCATGATACAATTTGAAGCTGGAAAAAATCAAAAGACAAAAGTTGAAGGTCTCTTCGTCAGCTTTCTAACGCATCTTGAATTACCTCATTCCGAGGTCGGATGAGTGAGTTAAGGCCGCTATAATACCGCATTACAGTAACAGCGTACCCGCACTACAGTAGCCGCGGTTCGGATTGTTACTATAGTAACC